TGCGCTCAGCTACTACTGGGGTAGGCTGAATGCCTTTAGTGGTCAGATTAGCAGTCCTAACATCTGTAAGATGCGTGCAACTGATCACGCCAAGATCTCTCACGTGGTGTGACAGGGTCCGCAAAGTATGGGGAGGACCTGTGAGCCCAAGATGCTCCTGTCATGAAGCCTAGTTGAGCGCAATAAAAAGTTGCGCCAGAGCTGACCAAAATGTGATCTATGCCCCATCAGGGCCGGTCTCAAAAAGGTTGTCATCAGAATCACAGATGTTGAAAAGGCGTCTTAAGTTTTCCAGGCACATAAACTGTCGTACCTCCTGCTTGAAAGCCTGTGGATTGTGAAGCTCCCGAAGCTGTGAAGATAATTTGTTTCAGGTATTTACATAAGCAACAAGGAAGAAACGTGAACGTAGTTTCTTCCTCGCTGGCAGCGGGGCAACTGTGCAGTGCTTGTTTCGGAGGTTGAATTCTGATCCTCTTCTCAGTGTCAGGCTGGGGATATCACTGTGCACCGCTTGGTATATTAACTTATGTAAGAAGCACAGGTTTAAGATAATGCGCCGCAGCCATAGAGGCTGGTGTTTGAGATGGTCACACCTCTGTAGGTAACTAAGCGCTAGGCCTTGTGGGGCTACTATTTTGGTAAACCGCCGCTGAGCCCTTTCGAGCAATATGTGGTCTGATTTCCGCAAATTACTGGAGATGAAGGGGCAGTATTCCAGCTGCGGACAAACATGACTGCGGTAAAGCTCCAACCGTGCTTCAGCCGAGTTAATGTGGCGGCCCATGTGGAAGACCATTCTGCGTGCTTTTGCTACCTGATTCTGCACATTCTCTGAAAAGTTGAGAGTCATAGAATAGTGAATACCTAGGTCAGTAGCTAACGATTTTAGTTGGATGGGCGCACCATTCAACGTAACGCACCATCCGATATGGAGCATTTGTGGGTCAGAATACTAGATTTATCAGCAGAGAATGTCATTTGCCAATTTTGACACCACGACTCTAAGGTCTTCAGGTCTTCACGGATCTCTTGTAGTGCGGATT